AGTTTCTTCTAATATAAAAATCACGTATGAAGCTCAACGATGGCTAGCAATCGAACATATTTCATTATTGATTTGTTTTCCCTTACCGTCCAAAATTTGACTGAGTTTAAATACTTTATGTTATGGCCAACTAATACACTTAAATACTAATTGAATGTTTGTCTTCTCTCTCACTTTGTGAGAGAGGAACTATTGAATTATTTTCTTTTCGTCTTTCTGGACAAGTTATAATTAATATTTAAATTTTGTTAACTTAAGCTGAGTTTAAATATCTATAAATAAAAAAAAATTATGAAAAAAATATATAGTTATTGTATTAAAGTTATAAAAATACAATGAATATTTTTCTTTCTAATAAAATTTTATTATTATTAACTGTTTATATTAAGTTCTTAACAAAATCTTTAATATTTAATCCATATGCATTGGCAGCATTGTTTGCTTTTCGCTTAACATTTGTGTTACGTTACTGGTCATCATATTTAACTTTTTCTATATCATCATTATAATTAATAAAAAGAAATAATAAACCTTCGTTATAGCAATATTTTAAAATTGGGCAGCATCTATTTACTTAAAAATGGACAGATTTTGTTAAATTAATTATTAAAGTAAAAGTTCTTATTTAAGATGAAGTTTACAAAACTTCATATAACTTATAATTTAGATAATTATCAATCAAGTTCATTTTAATATATATCATATTTTTTAAAATACAAATAAATATTAATTATAAGATAACATATTCTTGAATGGTTGATTTATCTAAAATTATGTCTACTTAATTATTAAAACAACATTACATATTCCATTCATTAAATCTATATTTAAAAAAAAAAGCGTTGAGTAAGTATCCAAGATTTAGTACTAAAATAAATGGATGTTATGTTGTTTGATATTAGTTGAGAATAATATTAAAATACTTTTATAATATAAAAGCTTGAACCTTTGATTAACTTTTAAGAATAAGTTAAATATATAATTTATGATAGAGCATAAAACTATATATTGTCTTAATTAATATTAAACCACGTATAAATGTTCAACTCTGCATATTTTTATGCACTAAATATTCCAATCTTAAAACATTCTTGACAAAGATTTGGAGAATTTTTATTTTTTAAACTAATTTTTGAAAATAAGTTAGGCAAAGACTAGACTATCTGCAATGGATTCCTTTTAAATTATAGAAAACAATATTATTCATATTTAATATACTATAAATTTGTTTAAATTAAAAAAGAGTAATAATATTTTTACAACCCACATGAACAAAGTGAAAAGAGAGATAAAAAAAAGAGAGGGGAGAAAAAAAGCAAAGATATAATAATAAGTATAATAAAAATAAGAAAAATAATAAATTTTAAAATAAAATCCTTAGACATAAAAACATTAATTACTAAACAAGATAGATTTTTATAAAATAAAAAGAGACAAAACCAAACTGCTTTATGAAAAGAGAAGTAAATATATGCAAACAATGAATCAAACCTCAGCCATGGGCAAGACTAATTGAATGAAGACCAGAACTTTACTCAATCTAGAAGGTGGAGAATATATACGTATAATAAAACTTGGATGGAGACCGTAAAACTTTGAGGTTCTAAAACGACTGCAACGCAAAAAAAAAAAAAAGAATAAAGAAAGAAAGAAGAGAGCGACTACAGAACGCAGTCATCTTAGAACAAAGGATTCAGCCACCAAAAATGGGTCACACATGTATCCAAGTAGTTACCCTAGTAGTGCTAGTAGTTAGTAGCATATCATGATCATGAGTGGTGCATGTCCACGCAACCAGTTTTCAAAGTCAATTCCTCCGTTTTCCAAATTTGTCATCTTCCTAATCAATAAAAAAATAAATAATCATCTTCCTTCTCGGAAGCCTCTCGCGTCTCAACTTGGAACTTCCATGGCCATATATAATATAATGCATCATCTTCATTACCCATGTCAAAGCATATATACACAAAATTCATCTTTCAGAGGAGAACAATATATATAGGTTTTAATTAAGTCTTTCTTACTCAAATGGGAAAGCTTAGGTATGATCCTAAACATCAGTTGAAGGTGATGAATAGAACTCCAAAGAAAACGGTTAAGATAACCTACATATCGAGTCCATTGTTGGTGAGGGCCTGCGATGCTTCCGAGTTTCGTTCAGTAGTTCAACAACTAACGGGCAAGGACTCCAACAATTCGAATTTGGCTAATGAAAATGCACACAATCACATGCAAATGATGCAATATCCATATCCTAGTTTGAGGCATCAGCTGGTTCACTCATCACCAATCTGCAGAGGTGGAGATCTACGTGTAACTGAAGATGGAAACCCCAGATCAATGAATTCTCTCGAGTTCGATGAAGATTACTTCTGGAAAGAAGTTGCACGTTCTGTTTTGCGCTCACCTTGTGTGCTTGCATGATATGAGTTTGTGTATGTATCAGTATAATCATGCAATGATTGCTCAACGGGTCCATAAGGGAACCCTTCGTGTTTTTTTCTTTATAAAACTTGTTTCTTATGTTTCTTATATATGTTTCTTCTTCTTACATACATGCTCTCTCATTTTGACAAAGATTCTCGTATATAACTTGCATTCAAATCTGTTCTCGTAATAATAATAATAATAAAAAACACTTTCTCTTTGTTGTCACCTTTTTTTTTCTTTCTGAATTGTGATCCTTCAATTCAAGAAATAGGAAACGAGACATGAAAATTTAACAGCAAATTTGATTCCCTTATGTATATATTACACACCATAACTCGTACAAAAGATAAAAGAGAAAATGCTCTACAACAGGTGATTGAAAATTGATTTTGGTGGCAAATGTAAAGTAGTGATTATAAAATGTTTTAAAACTATTCATCATAACTAATGTCTGCTTGTGCTATTTCACGTAAATAATTGTTACTGCTTAATTAGAATATAAAAAGATCAATGGTAAATACATCTCCATATGGGGCCATATATCACGTTTCAGTGTGATAATACAGTCACTTACTTTCTTTTCTCCGTCGATAGTATCCAATTTGAGAATCAATTCAGCTTCTAAAGCTCTTCACAATTACCCCACGTCCAGCTCCTCCTAAAGCCTTTCTTTCTTAAGTAAACTATATTCTAAAATTTTAATCTTCCAAAGCTGTTACTGAAATATATATCTTTTTCATTCTCAATTTATCCCACTTGTAATTTTATTTTTCAAAATGTTTTAATTTTTAAGTACCTTGAGAAATCAGTTCTGTAGTTACCATAATCTCAACACGTTATACTATACTATTTTTTTTATTAACTGTTAAGAAATTGACTTCTCCAAAACCCATTTTTCGATCAACACAATAATTTTTTTTTTCTAATAAAAGAAAGGATGTTAATATTTTTTTATTTCAAACATTTTCAATTTTCTGCACTGTCAGTTTGACATTAAATTAATGTAACTGTGAGGATTTTGGTAATGACGATACCGATTTCTTCATGTGTTTAAAAATTAGAACATTTTGAAAAAAAAAATTTACAAATTGGACTAACTAAGAATTAAAAAACTAAATATTTCAGTTTAAAAACCTCATTTTATTTCAATTGTAAAACATTATTTATTTACTTTACAAATATTAGTAAAAAATATAGTGGAAAAATTTTAAAGTGAATGATGTATGAAATATTAGTTAAAATTATGATGAAAAAACTTTAAAGTATATACGTTGTATAAATAAATAAAAATGAATAATTAATGTTTACAGTTCTACGTAGTAAAATAAAAATTTACTGTCCCAATGGTACCCTCAAATTAACGATTATTATCCTTTCCTTAAGAACAACCAGCTTCAAGCGTGCTTAGCGGGGAAAAACCGACGTGACATATAATTTACAATAAGTAAAGAAGAAATTGTCAGAAGGTAAATTATTTTTTAATATATATTAAAAAATTATATATAATAAATTTTTTTATTAAAGACTATAAGACACTAAAAAATTTAATATATTAACAATTCTAAATACAAAAACTTTTAATAAAACTTATTATTATTTTTTTATCATATATCTTTAAACACATAATAAAAGTTTAAAAAATTTAATAATTTTTAATATATACTTACTAATTAATTTTATTTAAAAAATAATTAATATTATCAATACATTAAATTTTATAATATTATAATTTTTTAATAATAAAGACAAATACTTAATAGATAAAAATAATTTTTTAAAAGTATTCATCTAAAATCAAATAAAATATTAAATTATAATATAATATATGTATAAAATTATATATTTAAAACTTTAAATTATATATATATAATTTGTGTGAGTAAATAAATATAAATAATATTGTGTTTATACTCATAAACGTACTCCTCAAATTTTAGAAATACCGTACTCATTAAATTTTATAAATATTTACCCATATTTTAACCTAAATCTATTAAATCAGTATTTTTGTCCTATCTATTCTGAGTATTTTAACAAATATTTAATGTCTGTAGAAGCCATTGTTATTCAAAGTCAGTACCTTAAAAATACTGATTAAAGAATAAAAATGATTTTTTAAAAATATAATAAATACATCTTCCCTTGTTATTTTCATACAATCCAACATAATTTTTAATTAACATTTCTTACTTCAAAATCCCTAATAGTTTATAGATACTAGTTAGGAAGACATGATTTTCTATTACATGACCTTAAAACACATTTAAAAAATGATAAATTAATTTTACTAGGTGGTATTTCCTCTTGCTGACACAAATTAACGGCACAAAAATTAAAAAGCCCTTCCTCTCACTCACGACATCCGTTAACCCTATGAGATGAGTAAACAAGCAAACTAGCTCTACAGTGTAACAGAGTGTGCAGATAGGCAGAACGCTACATTCACTAATCACAAAGTCGATGGATTCCAAAATTGCAGATTTTCTTCATACGTGTATTAATAGTAAAACTGAGTATATCTAATTGAGGCTCCAAAAAGTTCCTTTAAATTTTAACTCAAATTAAATAAGACAATCATAATATATATATATATAATCTGATAAAACTAACCGCATAGATGGGAAAACCACGTTATTTGAGCGCCACAGCTAGAAGATTCATTAATTTATGTAGCTACTATAGAAACATGATGGCAACGGTTTGCCTCAAGCACAAGCTAAACAAGCATATTTAATATATATATATAAGGAGCAAGTTTTTCACCTAGCTACTTTACTTAATATTGATGTCATTGCCTGGTTCTAATACTAATCAACTAACAAAAGCTATTAAAATAGCAGCAACTTTACCAAATTCTCAGGCTAGTTTAGTTTCCATCATCAGCAGATTTGAGGTAAAGGGTTTCACCCCCTTCAGCGCCAGAACTTCCACCCCGTCCTTCACCTGAACCTCCAATATCCTGCTTGCTACTTCCAATAATACCCCTATGCAAACCTTCCCCTGTGGAGGCACGGACAAAGTCAGGAAACCCACCTGAACCTAATGTTCCACTGCTTCCACCCACATTCACATTGCTTCCTTCACTTTGCAACAAGTGAAGCCCTGCACTTCCCCCAAGATGGCTGTGCATGCCTTGCTGCTGTTGAAGTGCTGTGTATGGTTGCTGTGTATACAAAAGGGATGAACGTGCAGCCATTAGTTGTTGTGGTGTCATCTGCTGCGCCTGCTGAGCCTGCATGTAGTGTGCTCCTTGCTGCATTATTCCACTGGGAGGATACTGCACCATACAATCGAGCATTGATAGTGAAAGAAGCATTCATGAGTTTTCTAGGAGGCGTTAGAGATTGATAACGAGAGGTCAACATGCTGTTAAAATAATAATATATGACACTAATCAACATTCTGAAAATAAGGCATGCACGTACCTGACCCGGCATGGTAGGTGGTTGGGGTTGAGAATCAGCTATTGCAGCTAAGTACATGAGATTTCTCTGTAGCCTTGCTTGGTTCCTGAAATACATCGAAGATCAACTTGGTCTGACATCAACTCCAAAAGTGATGTGGGATATTAACATGCCTTCATGCCTAGGACTAAACAGACATGGGTACCTAATATCAAAAGTGGACTAGGCTTTGATAGCTCTTTATAGAATTGAGAACAAACTAGGCTTGACCCAACCTTAAAAACTAGCTCAGGATGGGAAGTTTTCTTAGGTCATTATAAAGAGTGCTGTGCTAATACCAATAACCAGTATTTCAATAGCTTCATTATGGGCTGAACGATTTTATGTTTCATCTCTGACACACCCTATGCTTAAAAGGATGGAAAAAGCACTGTTGCACATGTCCGTCTAGTGTATTGAAATTTATTCAACTTTTTACTAGAAGAATGAGAAGTATCAACGATCGAACTCAAGGCCACTTGACTATAGAAACTTTTATACCATGTCATGAAATACCAATCCCAAAAACGTAAGTTGGTGAAGACACGTGAATGATTTTATTTTACATCTTTAACAACAAGACCCATGAAAAGTCAACATGTTTGGGGGAAATCTAATAATCCTTTCTGTTTTTTCTATCTCAACAGAAAGAAGCCAAAGTATGACTTCTCGAAGAAACCTTCCAAGATAAACAAGATATGCTTTCACAACAACATCCGAGCTTTATTCCATCAAAATTTCAATAAAATAATTTGTAAGGTTTTTTCAATGATTTCTCTTTTCGTTTTCACTTCAAACAACATAAATAAAATTACGCACCTCACCCAGAGAAGGGATCTTCTAATGTATAGAATTCACATTCAAATCAAAGGGGTGTGTAGCAAAAAAGTTACTTTTCTGTGTTGTCAGTAGAAATGTGAGAAACGCAAAATTATAAGAGGAATCAAGGCAAGAAACTACGGAGATATCAGAAGAGTTCATCAATGTGAGGATGCAATCCTCGGTGGCATGTAGAAAATGTGAATCTCGAGGTGTTCTCTTATCATTGAATACATATAAGAACTAATGTGCAAAAAAGATGTTATGCGATAATCAAACAACGTAACCTACAGCTCAAGTACAGAAAACGATAAGAAAACATAGACATAATAAGGTTAGTTTTCAAAGTCACAATTTATTCTGCTGCAACATTTTTCGAAAACTTCATAAAAAATTATACATATGTTGACGGTGGGAAAATTTCCCTGGGGTAGCACTTTATCTAGTTGGTTGGCAAGGTTATCTTATCGTTAATTAAATTGAACCTGGTTATCAGTGTGGAACCAGCTATAGCATTTATTAGTAAATGACCCCTGCCAACTAGGCACCCAGATGAAGACATTATTATACTTGATAGGAAATTAAGACATAAGAAACATTAAACTCAAATTTAAAGACAGGAGAATCAGTCCAATTCTTACTCGGCACACTCGCTCAGCTTGCCAGAATTCTGGCTTTCAACAATCTTCAGAATTAAGGACTTGTTCTCATCCAGGTACTGCTTGTAAGAAAAAAGAGTAAAAGGATGAATAAAGGATATAAAAACATCATATAAATGCAATGAGAATACTATATGATGCACGTAGATTAGATATAGTAAATGTAAGCCTTTCAAGGCATGTGAATTTTATATATTATACTTCCATCTCCTGCTGTTTTTGTCTTAAATGTCCTAGCATTTGGGCAAGTAATCAGAACTGCAGCTAATTAATCAAACCGCGTCCCTGATCAGATTGCTTACAATATAATATTTCCTATTTGAATTTAACAAAAGTTCCCTATGATGCATTAAAGGTTGTTTACCTAATAGAAATCAAAACAAAAAGTTGTCAGTTCTATGACTATATATATATATATATATATATATATATATATATATATATGGTAGTCAAGGAAGCGTGAAATATAAGTTTAGTTTATCACAGAAGTGCAGGTATGTTACCAAAATCTACTAAACTAGGAGGAAAATACTGCAAAGATTTAGAAAGAAATTTGTAATTTCATGTTCAATAGTACTAGGTCATTAGTACTAAATAACTCTCAAAATGGGATGCAACAAGAACAAGTGATAGACAGTCCAATAGAGCGTAATTAATGCTCAAACCAGGAAAAACAAGAGTGAGTACTGAAGTGATAAATGCTAGGCAATGAAACCATATCGATCGAAAGTGCCCAAAGTCTACGTCTTGGTTTTATAAAGACACAGGGATGGCGATAACTGATATGATCCATGTTGAGATTGAGATTATGTGATCTGAACGCTGAAAGAAGTAGACGTCACAAAAAGGAGTGAATATTTGGCAAACAGCACCCACTTAGGATTAGCACCAACAACAACAATCACTTACGTAACTGGAGCAGAAGCTGACAAGAAAGAAGCAGAATAAAAGGAGAAGAGTGGGTATGAACAGAAACATTAAAAAAAGCTAGCAGCACAAGCGGTACTAAAAGTGGCAAACAAGACCCACAAGCAGTGCTGAGACAGAAGGGCCCTGAGCCAGCAGAAGCAGAACCAGTAGTGGACATGATCCATGATTCATGATTCATGAATGAATACATATATAAATATACATAACATATACATATACATATATATCCAAAGCAAAGCGGCAGAAGAGAAAAGAAAAGGGGTAAAGCAGAAGACAGGCATTGACTGAGTTGGAGAAGAAGAGGAGAAAGGAGGGACCTGTTGAATGTGATCAGTGGTGACGTTGTTAGGGTAGTAGGCTGCCATCATGGGCTGCATCTGCATCAGGTGCTGCTGCATTTTCTCACGCTCTAATATCTCTATATATACTGCTACACAATCACTATTCACTATGTGTCTATGTGATAGATTATAGACACATATTTCTCACTACAAAACCCAACAAATTAAGAGTGCAACTGCATAGAGAAACAACTACAACTCTCTCTCTCTCTCTCTCTCTCTCTCTCTCTGGGTATTGCAATGATTCTGCCCCACGAAAGGAGGTGGAGAAAGCGTGAATAGAAAGAGAAAGAGAAAACTCATTGGAGGTGGGGCCACAGCTTGGAGCTATTACTATTTTGTTGGTTTTGACTCTTTCTTCTCTCTGCAGTCACTCTCTAGAACTGCGTGTTCTTCCTTCTCTCTCTAGGTCACGTGACAGATGAGACACAGAGACAACACATTTGACCATGTTTTTTTCTTTAATGTTATTAATACTTTTTAACATTCATTTAATACAGAAAAACAAATTCATAAATTATATTTTTTATTCAAAGTTATAATATTTAATATTCTTTATATTAATTTTTATAATATTTTATATTTTAGTTATATAAAAAAATTTATTATATATTTTTAACACACATTAAAAGATATATTTTTATTTTTATCCAACAATTAGAATTTCAAAATTAATTTTTTAAATGTCTTAAAATTATTATTTAAATTTTTAATATATATTAATTATCTTACTTATTTATTATTTTCTGATAAACAAATATTATTCATTATAAAAAATAAGTTTATAAAAAGAAAATTTATAATACCCAGAATAATAAATTATATATAATGATATTTCACATAAAATTATAACATTTAATATTATTAATACATTGAATCTTATAAGTAAAAAAAAATTATAAAAATATTAAGTATTTATTAATTTTATAAAATAATAATATATAAATAATATTAAAGTGTAAAAAACAAATATAATATTTATTCAACCGATAATTTAATGCTTTAAAATGTTATTAATTCTGTTAATTTTAAAGTTTAAAGTTATTTAAATATAATATTTATTGTTATATGTAATAAATATATTTTTAATTACTTAATTGGGATTCATATATTTTAAATATAATTTCTTCGTTTCTTTTAACTTATATACCTTTTAAAACATTTTGTCTTCATTTAGAAATTTTAATATAATATTTAATAGTCGATTGTTATTAATGAATGTCTTGTAAAAAGATAAAATAATTTTTTATTAAAAAACATTGAATGATTAAATACTCAGAAGATAAGTATACATGTGGATAATATTTTTTAACTTGTATACTAAAAATATCAATTAATATTTATCTTATTATTATTATTAATTGTGTTCTTATAATTTAAATATTATATTTATATTTAAAATGGTGTTGAAAATGAAAAGGAAAAGTGAAGATAGTGGAAAAAATGGATGGTAAAAGAGAGAGTATGTAAATTGTAATGTGCATAGCATAAAAGATGGGATTGTCCGGAGGGTGTTGTCCACTTTGGTCTCACTATATTTAATGTGTATGACGTCCCAATTGTGTAAGAGATTCCGATGCTCTCATTCACTGCGCCACGCGCTCTCTTCCACGCACTGTCCCACTCTGCTAATTAACCTTGATCTTCGTGCAAATCATTCTTCTCCTCTTTTTCACTTTTCTTTTTTTTTTAAAAAACTCAAATATTTATTATATTCTTTTTTTTACCTCATGATAATAAATTTTTTATCAACTTTTCATTGTCATTTATAAAATCAACGTTCAATTAATATTTTATTTAAAATTTTATCTTTGATAAATAATGTTTACTGGATAGAAGATATTTTTTCAATTTAAAAGTTAAAAAATACTATTATTATTTATTATATTATTAATCTTTATAAAATTCATAATTATCTTACACATTTATGATAAAAAATATTAATTATTATAAAATAAAAGATTAATGAGATCGGGTCACAGTTATTTTTATAACTTATCTGCACGTTAATTCATTAAGTATACTTTATTTTCTATTAAATTTTATTGAGTAAAATTAATAAATAAAAAATTTAATTAGTTGGAGAAAATACAAAAAATTATAGATTAAATAATAATTTAATATAAATTACTATATTAATAACTTTTTTAAAATTGTGTGAAACTATTAAATGACAGATAAAAAATAAATAAATAAGTAAATGAGTGAGATTAATGGATATAATAGAGCAGTGATATACTAGAAAAATAAGTAATACTTTTATAAAATATCTAATAGAAAATATAAAAAAAATCTAATAGAAATTATTTTTTAATTTCTATGCAAAATTACAAACATAAAAAAATTGAATTAGGCTATTAATTTAATCATTTGATAACACAAGTATTTATTGAATAAATATAATTTAACAATTAATAATTATTTGTATTAATCTTATTAAATATATCCATATAAAACAATTATCATTTGGCTTAGAAAATAAGAGCAAAATATCTTTATAAAAATAACAATGTTAGCATAAATGCCTTTACAATATTAACTAAGGACTTCTTATTTTTTTTCTGTTAAAAATACTACCAATGTACTTTATTATAATAATCAACACTTTAATTATAATACCGGACAACAAAAACTGTTTATTAAACTTTTACTTAATATTTTTACGACACTCGTTAATATAAGTCAAGAGGTTGTTTACCTTTCTAGATAATTAAAGTAGGATCACGTTAAGTACTACCGACATTGCTTAAAAATATATGAATACATTTTTTTTATTTAATATTTTTAAATTTTTAATTTTATAACCAAAGTTGTGATGTCACTGGTTAACATAATATTTCAAAACTTGTTTTAATAATTACGATATTATTTTTTATATTTATTACTCCAGTCAATGCTCTTGGTTATGGCATTTGTAACTGAAATTCCTATTATTAAGAGTTTGTACTGCATTTTATTTTTAAAAATTAAAAATTATTTTTGAAAAAATCAAACATATTCTAAGTATTTATATTTTTAAAAGTTATTTATATAAAAGTACTATCTTTATCATAATAAGAAGACGAAAGAAAAAAAAAAAAAAAAGAGAAGGGGAATTGGATGAAATTGATTCTCTGTTTTTTTCTTTTTATTATTTGGTTAAGTTGGATTCAATTACACCAGTTGACATTTAGACATAGTTGTATTGGTATGATTGTTATTTTGGATATTATAAGAGTTAGATAAACATTTAGACATTTGAAATTTATTACTTTTAAAATTACATCAATAAATAAATCAGTAGTCTGTTGCCACAATAAATCTATTGATGTTTAAATAATAAAGATAAACATTTCTATTAAACGTCAATAAAATATTTATAAAAAATGTTAACAAAAATATTAACACAGACTATAAATATAAATATTTAATACGTTTGTATTAATTGCTCAAGAGTTTACTGACATTTTATAAAATAAATTTGAGCTCACGAGTGAATATAATTCAACTCACCTCGCTAGTAAGTTAGATTACAAACAGATTAGACTCAAATTTTAGAATTATCATGACTCTACCCACTTACCTTGCATGATATACAGAACAGGTTCATAACGAGTTCGGTTTATTTAACACATTTTAATTTTCTAAATATCATCATGGTGTTAAGTTTGACCTTTGATGATTAGTTAATTTTTATTATTTAATTAGCAAGCTACTAAAAGACAACTGTGAAATTGTATGTATTGCATGATAAAATATTTTAAATTTTTTTAAAAAAAATTTTAAATCAGTAAGTCAGATCAATTTTTTTATTGGTTGCATTGAGTCAGATCAATTTTTTTATTTTTTAAAAAACATTCAAAGTAAGTTAAATAAATGTTTTAATCCATTTTAACAGCTCGATACATTACATCAGATACCAAAGTAATGAAAGACAAAAAGAAAATCTTTTACCAATCTATCGTAAAAATAAATAAATAAATCTGCTAAGATAAATATACTTTTGTTAGTATCAACTTTTAAAAATAATTTAAAGTATTTAAATTTTATTTTTTACTAAAAATAGTATTTATTATATCTTTATATTTTGAATATAATATTTTTAAATTTTTGTATAAAGTTATGTTTAACTTTATAATTTGTGATTAATAAAATAAAAAATGCATGTCAACTTTTATTTTAGGAATTTATTGGAATTGAAACAGTGGAACGTTATATAGCATTCAGAAGATTACATATCCTTTCTTATCATTTAATTCAATTAATTAGAAGAAAGCATGGTGTTGGGATTGGGGGGCCCAAAGGTTCACATGCATGCCCTTTCCATATGAGAGTGTTGTCCAGTCCATTTCCAACTCTGATATAAGAATGGGAAATGATGTTTGTACGTTCTGCGTAGATGCTATACGTGTTTCTTTTGTTCGAGAAATATATGTTTTAGATGCATGCACGTATATTACAAAATCAAATATAAAATAATGTTTATTTTTTATTATTTAAATAAATAAAGTGTACAAAAATATTATTGCCCTCGTGATCTCATGAACAAACACATAGGTCAAACTGATCTGAAACTTATCTCTTTACCCTACGTACTTTCAAATGGTAATTGTGTGGGTCACATATTGATCAGAGTCTCATTGCCCTTATACAAAGGTACAACAATAACCTCTCTTCCCTCTTGTGGCTCTTTGGTTTTTCCTTTTAAGGGGAAGGTCCTCTTTGCAAGATTCCCACATTATAATATCATAAGCCAAATAAATAAAAATATGAATCATAAATATGAGTGTGATGGTGTATTGAATGATCATCAACAGAGTCAAATAAAAAAAGCAAATGGGTTTGTGTCTCAGTTCCTCAAACATGATGGGTGGTTAGGGTGTCACAATTGGTTTGTGTGCTTAAAATTCCAAACCTGTCTTTTCCATCATGGCTTTACTTTTCCATAGCCCCATGCTGCCACTGCATGTAGGTCCTCATCCTTTGGTTTGTTCATTCCCCCAAATGGAGATCAATGACGCGCTTTTTAACCGTGCTTACTGAAACAATACCCTTGTACTTTCACCCTGCATTTCGATACTTTGTTTGGATGTTGAAATAATACAAAAAATTATAATTAAGTGAAAAGAAAAAACAAGCAGTCAAAATTTCTTTCGATGTTCATTTGATTAGGCCAAAAACCATGAGATGGATCCACCCATAGTATATATGTTTGAATTTGCATTATATTTTAGCAAAACGTAGATCAATACACGCCAACTTCTGTTACTTTCT